CCTACCAAACATACCACAATTATAACGGTTTTAAATTTACTTCTGACCGCATTCTACAGAAGAGGTTCTATGTGTCACCCACTAAAGCAACATAATAGCGAGGCCACAAGAGTAGCGAGACCATCGCTCACGACTTCCGCTACTAAGTTACCATAGTAAATAACTCCAAAAGAACACAACGAAAAATAACAATAACGATAAGCGATATATATATATATATGTGACAAATTTAGGATCTACAGCCAATAACAATCCAACAATGACATATCGATATGGTGTACATATCGATCTTACAAGAAAATGAAAAATGGTCTAAATCAAACTTGAAGCACTAACAAGAAATGTCGGGGAGACAATTTTATATACAAGTTTGGCCACAGTCCTAACCCTAATTCAAATTTTAAAACAAGCTTTAACGTTATTTAAATTTTTCCGTAACATCTGATTAATCAAATTAATGGAATTAATGGGAAATGATGTAGAAAATTCCAAGGTAGTTTTCAGCTGGAGTGAGATGCGTTGTAAAGCAGGTGCGGAGGCCGATGCTTTGGTGCTTCGGTATAATAAAGATAAAAGTTTATGCGAAGGCTGGCGCTTCAGCATAACGGAGATATGAAATTTCCTAATGCGGAAGCAGGAGCAAAAGTCTCATGGTTAAAGCTAAAGCAGGCGTAAATTTTATAGACATTGAAACTAAAGGTGTTAAAGCAAAAATTGGAGTCAACGTTGATATGGGTGCATCAATTGGTCTTGATGGTATAGAAGCTAAGATTGGCGTAAATTTAGAAGAAATGGACAAGTTTCAATAGACTTTTCGAATTTATGCGTCATTTAATAAATGTAAACTTGTATCATAAAAGTACTTAACAAAATGGCGAAACTTCTAATACTAATAGGAATCCTATCTTACATCCGAGCTTGGGTCAAATTTTTATTGCACAACGATGAGATAATCGTGTTCTTAATGAATTAATTATGACGATAAGCAGAATTAACTTGTGGCTTTTTGCAAGTTATTTAAATAACTAAGAAAAAGAAATAAAATAGTCAAAGATTTGCTTTTGTTCTTTCAACCATTCCAAGCTTAAACGAAAATGAGCGATCCTGTTGGTATTATTAGCTACATATACGTACAAAAAATTTATTATGTGCATAAATCGCTCCTAGACTTCGTATCGTGATCGGCATCAGGTCATGATTTTTCCATGGGTCTTAAAAATTCCAACTACAGATATAATCATGATTAAGTCAAAAACGGTTGCGAATCCATTTAAAAAGTTAGAATATCATCTTTTTATAGGAAATTAAATGTGGGGATCATGATGAAAAACGGATTATGGTGAAAATTTGCAATATCTATTATAATAAACTATGAATAACAATTATACTCATAAATTTACATAGTATTTAGCAATATAAATATTATTGCAAAATTAATTTAATTTTTATATTTATGCATTTATCATTATTTTCAAAATATTGCTCTTTTATTATAAGAAATTATCGCTAATTCTGGCCAAATGATCTCCTGATCTGCACAATTTTGGCCAAAATTTTCACCATAATCCGTTTTTCATCATGATCCCCACATTAAATATGCGGTGATACATTTTGAAGATCAACCAATCATATTTAAGGCCCGCTATGCTAACCAATTACAAGATCATGTGTAACACGAAATTCAAAACTCAAAATTTTAATTAAAAACATCAGATTTTGTTCTTGCATGCTTATATCTAATTAATCTCGATTCCTGAAAAACGCTGCAAGATTACCAATAGCAACGCCAAATTTTGGGCACTCCATCACATTCTCGCCAATCCATACGGGTAATTTTTGTCTAATACGAGGTGTACTAAATCGTCGATCAATCAACACAATCGTTGCGTAGTCACTTTTGTGTCGGATCGCACGACCTAGTAAAAAATTCAAATTATTTATTCTTTATCAATAAATGCTTCGAACAAATAAATAATTACCAATTGATTGATTAACTGATCGCATGCATAAATTCTCGTAATATTCCTTCCCGGATGAATGTAAGTTTCCAGATCGTATATCTTGACGTTTTTGATCAATGTATTTCATTTTCTCTTTCAATGCTGCAGAATTCATATTTGCAAATGGTAGTCCTACCATTAGAACTCCCCTATTCATATGAAGATTAATTATATCAGTAGATTGAATATACTTGTAGATATAGGAAACTCTTTTTCACACCTTCCTAATCGATCTGCAAAATTAATGCCTTCACTCATTTTACCTCCTACCACACAAAAAAGCAAAGCACCACCATTCTTAGATCCGGTCTTATTAAAAAAAAAAGATATCAGAAACTTATTATTTCTCTTTAGTTTATCATGAATCAATAATAAACAATTACTGGTGTCGAATGAATATGTGCTGAATAGTCGCGCAAAGTTTTGTCGACTTCATTGGATTGGCGAGGTTCACAAAATATCTAATCAACCATAAAAATATGAATAAACTGCAACATTGGAGCGTTAAAAAGGAAAATATCGACCACATTACTCTTTTACGCTTTTGTATTCTTTCCAATGTATTATTCTGTTGCCAACGGAGATATACTTTTTCTAGATATGCATATGATCCGAAAAAACAAACAACACCATCTGGAATGATGTTGCAAAGATTTGAGATGGTTTGGCCTAATTGATCAATCTAAACATAAACTATTATTATTGAAACACAATAAAGATGATTTTCAAATTCCAAAGTTCATACCAACTTCTCGTCTGTTCGATGCTCAAAGGTAAATTCCATTGGCATCCCAGCAGGTCCATTCGACACAGCCAAAGTTAATAGATTTTCTTTAGGAATAACATGTCCACAAGAAAATCGATCGATTTTTTCTGGTGGGAGATACGGAAACAATTGATCAATCAAATCTTTGACCTTTTTTTAATTAAAAATGGATGAATTAATAATTATATAAATTTGAGAAATAAGAATTTCAAATTACTCACAGGTTCCATTGTTCCACCTGCTAGAATTACACTTCTTGCTTCCATCACAATGTCTTTAAATTGATTTGAAGGATTCAATAATAAATATTTTACGTAGGGTTGATATTTTGATGTGCCTGCAATCGGCATGAATCCGAGGATGACACGTCCATCAATATCTCCGTTTGTTAATGACATAAAGAATTTCTCAATTTGATTTAAACAGGGAATCGAAGAAAAGTAATTATTCACTGTAAAAGTATATAAAAAATAACCGATGAATTGTTGTAGGTCTTGCTATTTTGCATTTTTGCAAATTGTGAAAACATACCATCATCATTTCTTGGATGTATTTTAACTTCGTGGAATTCCGTTTTATCAATAAATCCATTAAGCTATAAATTTATATTATTTTTCAGATAGTAGAGACTATTATGACGATCATCGAATAAATAATCATGTAATGATGTAGTAAAGTCAAACCTTTCGCGCAAGATTACTCCTTTTCAGATATTTTTCGAGTTTAAATAAATTCAAGTTGTCAATATTTAAATTATGAACAAATTCATTTACCATCTTGATTTCCTCGCAACTTTCTTTATTCTCGCATGATTTCGTCCATTGATTCAAGCATTTAGTTAATGCATCTAACAAAGCTAAAATTTGACGAATATAAACGATATTTTTCCCTTTTAATCGTCGCTTGTATCGCTCAAGATATTTAGTTAATTGTAACTGTGCACGCGATATTTGTGAATGATCAACAGATACAGTATGTACCGCTGTTATTGTCTCTGCTAAATTGTGGGCTTCATCAATTATGACGATATTATTTTTTAAGGAAATCCCTGTTGACTCACGAGTTGATTTTGATAGGAGAAGGTTATAGGGGAGGGTTACAATCTGGTTGTAAATTGAGATTATGAGAAAATTTGAAAGGAACGTAAAAAAGCCATTTTTGATATCAATAATAGCCTTCTTACCTGAGATTGCTTGATACTTTTTCTTGTACCGTAATAAGGACAAGTTTCTAGTTTTTGACCCACCTCCACAAGTTCTTCTATATTACGTACTAAGGCCTTTATTCAATAGATACATAAATATATCAAAGTACCTTCCTTTTATTATATTTTTAAAAAAAGGATTACTCACCAACACATGGTCTCTAAAGTCCAACATGCGCGATTTTCCAATTTTGGAAAAGTAAGGACACTTTTTATCTGATTTCGTGTCTTTTATACATAAAGAGAATAAAAGACTCGATTGAAGTTCAATTCAAAGACTAGATAATATAAATAATTCACATACTAGGTTTTTGCATTTCCATGCATTGTTCATTCATTCGTGCGGCATTTTTCAACTTCTGAACTTCTTCATTGATGCATAGATTCTTTCGAGAACCCAATGAAACTGATTTCAGTTCATCAGCATAGCTAGTCTTTCGGATCTCTTGAATAAATTGCGCCAATTGGGAATGTGTTCGAGAACAATAATAAATCTACATATTATAGACAAAAAGTAAAATTTAACCGCGAGTTATCAAATAGAAATTATAAAATTATTTTTTTTCTTTACTTTTGTTTCTTCCGGTTCTTCATCTTCATCATCTTCTCCCGGCCAGTTTCTATGATTAGTTTTATTGACTTTCTCGTCACCTAGTTCAAATTCTTGATTGTCTTGAAATCTGATAATTTAATTTCAAACACTCAAATAATAGTATATATCATTGACATTAAAGAATAATTATAATATTGATCCACACATATACCTTGCTAATAATTCTTTTACTTCAGCGGAATAATTCTCACCGAAGTTATTGTTGGATTCATTTTTATTGTCGCCATCATCACTATTATAATCATCAAGAGCAAATTCTTCAGGTGCTTCTTCATTCTCGTTATTGTTATTATTGATTGGATGGAGCTCATTCTCGTGTTTAATTTTCTACATTTTCAAAATTTTGTCATTAACAGAAATGTTTTAGAGAAAAGATACATTAATTTATATTACCATTTTTTTACGAGAAAGAAAACTACTGGAAGAGGTTTTCCGTTGAGCAAGTTCACGTTCTCTAATTCTTCTGATTCTGTTAGCCAATTCCTGCTTTTTTTGTTTCTCTCGTTCACGAATTTGCTCTCGATGATACTCCAATACCCACAACGGTTCTTTGAATAATAAAAAATGGAGACTTGAGCTTTCACGCAAAATTCGAAGCAACCACATGTAGGAAAAAAAATTCTTTCACCATTCGAGGCAGTGTCGCGTTCTACATTACTCCCCAACGGATTCTCGTGCCTCGAAGCATTGTCATTAAGCCATTTTAATGCGCCACAAATCAAATTTAAAGATTTCCCCTTTATTGTAAATAATATAAGAGGACTTTCTTTTTAAATTAAGAATTCTTCAGTTTTGAACTAAACTTTTTTACCGTGCCCGTAGGACTCTCGAATATGGCTACTTGTCCTTTTTCAATGGCAGTATAAAGTTTTTGCATGAATTCATACTGGATACTATATGGCTCGAAAGGAAATTGAAACTCGCTACAGTCCATCGGAGTTGGAAGTCGAAATTGTAAATCTTTTTGCTCACTTAGTTGATTCATATTTTCGATCGCGAAAAAATGGATTCTTGGCGCGACACGCGTATATAGAAATTAAATCTTCACGTGATCAGATAGATCATCATGCAAACGAATCCACCAGGGTGACCCCCAAGAGTTCGGGCCACGTGATAATTTTTTGATGATGTCAGCGATGATGACCAAT